CCACGCAGAGTTCAAGTTCCTCTGGCTGATGCTGTCAATCATCTTCAGGCAAATGACAATGTCGAACTCATCCCTCCAGAAATCACGCAGGGTGAGGTTGGTGGTATCGGTCACCTCAAAGCAGCGCTGGAACAGCTCCATGGTGTACCACTTTTTGAAGTTCGCAATCACCTGCTGATCCATCGGCTGGAGTAGCGGGGGGGTGTTTGGAGGCAGAAACATGATCTTTATGAAGGAAAACTCCTCCAACAAGTCATCCTCAAGGCCTGGAGGATGGGCAGGAGCGTTGTCCATTAGGAGCAGGGCCTTCAGAGGCAGGTCACAGTCCACCAGGTACCGCTTCACAGCTGGGCCAAAAGTGTGATTGACCCAGTCCACAAAGTGGACCCGTGTGTCCCAAGCCTTAGCATTGGATCACCACATCACCTTCAGCCGTGCTTTGTCTACCTTGTGCTTCTTAAAAGCACATGGATTTTTGGAGTGGTAGACAAGCAACGGCTTGATCTTCAGGTCCCCGCTGGCGTTGGCACAGAAGAGGAGGGTCAGGCGGTCCTTCATCGGCTTGTGGCCAGGTAGCTTGCTCTTCTCTTGGGTCAGGAAGGTCCTTTTGGGCGTCCGCTTCCAAAACAGGCTGGTCTCATCGCAGTTGAAGACCTGCTCTGGAAGGTAGCCCTCTGTTGTTATGACCTCGAGGAACTCCACAGCAAAGTCCTCTGCTGTAGTGGTGTCTGAGCTCGCTGCCTCTCCGTGTCTCACCACACGGTGGATGCCGAATCTTGCCTTGAAGCGTTCAAACCAGCCTCTGCTGGTCTTGAAATCCTCAGGCTCAGCTGATGTTCCGGGCTGCTGTGCCATGAGGTCAGTGTACAAGGCCCTGGCCTTCTCACAGATCACAGCCTCAGTAACCGTGTCCCCTCCACACTGCTTCTCCTCCATCCAGATGACCAGGAGCTTCTCCACCTCCTCCAGGACAGCTGGACGGTTCCTGGCAATCCCTGTGACACCCTTCACGGCATCCGTGGCAAGGATCTTCTCACGGTTGGCCATGATGGTGCCAATGGTTGACGCATTGCGGCTGTACTCCCTGGCGATGTCCGCAATGCATCTCCCTCCATCGTATTTCCGGGTGATGTCTTTTTTCATCTCCAGGGTAACCTTCTCCCTGGTCGATTTGCCAACTTGGGCAGATGCAGTCTTCTTTGGACCCATGTCCAATGTAGCTACGTTAAAGGGAAAAAAAACAGTGATTTAAATCTGCCTCACCTTCCCACACCTGGCCAAAACTGCCCTGGACAAGCAAGTTGCAGTTTTGTCACACAGACACCCCGCAACCTAGGGGGAAAAAACTAAAATCAGACCTATCTCTCGATCTAACAGATCATTTGGAAACGCCACCAAAGGCCACAGCACACCCACAGAGGATGCCTAACCAAAGAAAAATTCAGAAGAATTAGACTTACCATAACTACACCCCCACCACAACCAAAGGTGAAAAAAACCACAAGAAAAGAAATTTTACCTACTTCATGATCAAACAGCCACCAAAGGCCACACCACACCACACCACACCACATCACCTACAGAAAAAAAATTCAAAATTGGCATCCCTGGTTCAGACATGGAGAAATCCACAAGAAACAGCAATTCTAGTGAGAGTCTACCACAATTAAAACAAAACACCCCCACACACCCCACACCCATAGGCAGCATTGCACAGAGAAAAAAAAATTAAACATGGGATTTCAGTTGGGCACCCAAATCCCTGGTTCAGACATGGAGAAATCCACAAGAAACAGCAATTCTAGTGAGAGTCTACCACCATTAAACCAAAACACCCCACACACACCCCCACACCCATAGGCAGCATGGCACAGAGGAAAAAAAACATTTTAAACACAAAAATCCCACAGAAATGCACAGAAACCCCCACCAAAATACCCCTGCAATTCCCCCAATTAAAAAAAAACCCATAACCAAAGCCAGAGCCAGCCAGACTCAAATTCCCCCTTGCAAAAAACATCTAACTTTAGCAATAAAAACCCACCACCCACCCAGGATAAGAAATGCAAGCTTACCTTTTGTAGCTCCAGAAGTTCTACAGCACAGGATGCACCCCCAAAACAGACCAAGGTGACAAAGCCAACCTTGGAACTGCACATGGGAGAGTAAACCCAGGATACATGGGCAAGGGGTTTTATATCTCCTGGGTACAGGCAGTTAGCTTTTGAAGGAAAACAACAAATTAGTGCAAACAGCCACATTTCCTGCTCTTTTTCAAACATCGCTAAGCGAAACGGGGACCATTAAACGGCATCGTTAAGCGAATCATGGCCCCAACATCGCTAAGCGGAATTCCCCCATAGGAAACATCGCTAACCGAGGCAGTAAACTTTTCATAAAAAGCCATCGCTATGCGAATTCATCGTTAAACGAAGCAATCGCTAAGCGAGGCACCACTGTATTTAAAATTCATTGTAAGCTTCCTTGAGTCTCCCTGCTGGCACAAAGTCAGGGGATAAAAAAATAAATAAGAATAAAAGTTCCAGGAGAATGGCAACACACATCATGCTGTATTTAGGGCCGCTGTGGACCATATTCTGCGAGTAAGGGCTGTCTCTTCTCCCAAATTGCAAACAAGCAAGCACATCCTGGGGAAAGTGAAACACAAAGAGGTTACACTTTGAATTTGGAAATGGAGAGGCAGGTTTGTTTTAAAACTGCCCCTCCTCAAGGCCTTCAGCAACAGGAGATAACACATTTTGGAGCATGTGTCTTTGCAGGACCTTGAAAAGCTTGAGGGCCATGTGTGCTTTGCCATCCCAGTTTTTAGGACATTTAAAAATTGGCCAGAAAAACTACACATTCAGAATTCTAGTAAAAGGTGGGTTCCACCCAGATTAACTTTGAAACCAGGAATACATAAGAACGTCAAATCCCAAATAAAGTAGGTGCAATTGGTACAGACACAAGAGAGGGACCTTACTGCGGCTGCTCCTAAGCATGTGGAACTCCCTGCAGCAGGAAACCTGCCTGACCCCTTTCCTACAGTTCTTGCACCAGCAGAAAGAGACCTTCCTTTTAGAGAGGATTTTAATACGTAAAGTGCTGCTCAGGAGTAAGGGGTTTTTATGGGAGGATGGACTACTATATTAAAAAAATATGTCTTGAAATTGGTTTTAAAAGATCTTACTTAGTCTGTTTTAATAGCATATATATATCAGTGGTTCTCAAACTTTTTCAACTCATTGCTCTCTTGACTTATTGGCCACTGTCCATGTCTCCCCAGTACTATACTTTGGGGTGGGAGGAAGCCCAACCATTTTTTTCTCCCTGAAAGCAATTTATGACTACGGAATGTAACAAAATAAAAACACAATCTCTGTTTAGTAAATATCTGGTTAAGAAACAGTGCAATATTAGTTACAAAAATATTTTTATAGGCTTAAAAACCACACACTGCTTTCTGTGCTTTGTTTTTTGTTTTTCATCCTCATTTTTGTAAATTCGAGAGAGAGAGAGAGAGATCGGTAATGGCTATCAAGCCAAAAATCTCATATCTCCTAAAAGCTTTTCCTGCTGAACATCTTCCAGTGAAAAAAAGGGAAAGGCAAGACAAGGAAAAGAGAAAAAAAAGCAAACTAGAAGAGGATGTTAACAGGGACTTCAAAGGCAGTTGGCAAAGAGTACATGTAAACAGAGAGATAGATAGCCAGACTACCGCCTGATGAGCCACCAAACCCTTCCGGGGCGGGGGGGGGGAGGCTGCAGAATCCTCAGAAAGTGAAATGAAAAGAAGAAATATGACCTCTCCCACCACCCTCTCTTCCTTTTCTCTTTCCCTTTCCCACACCTTTTTCCCCATTCAGTGCCTAACAGTTGACTTGTCTTTTGTGATTTAGGCTATTACTTCCTCCCTTCCTTTATTCCTAACCTCAGCGAATTATCTGGAGCTGATTCAGGCCCACAAGTTTTCCATGGGTGGGCCCAGGTTCCTTGCCCGGCCTCCTCCTGCAGGCACCCACTCAGAGGATGAGGCCAGGTAGGAAACGCCTGTGGAGCTGCTTCTGAGAAGGTCTTGGGAACTCATTGCCACTGTGACTGACCATGCAAAATGGAAAGAATTGTACAGATGATATTCTTTCTCTTCCTCCACCCAACCCTTCCTGAAGCTGTAGGTCTTGGCCTTTTCCTTACCTGGGTGATGAAGGCCATGCAGCCATGACCAGCCAGCAACTTTACAAAGGACAGAAAGTACAAAAAAGGAATAGACTCCTCTATCTGTAGGAAAACATAACCATATATCAGACTTTAACACATCTTTCTGAACGCACATAGGGTGAAGCCATAAAAATTCATGGAGTGTGAACACAGCTCTGTTACGAGTGATGGTCTTTCTCCACCTCCACCCGGGGACAAGCAGAGTAGAGGCGTGAAATGTGAAAACAGCTTTACTGAAATCGGAGACTATGCTACTGATCAAACAACCTATGCATGGGAGGAACCATGTAAATATAAGGAATGCGGAAATAGCTTCGGTGAAAACCATACTCTCGCAACAGATACAAGAACCCACTCTGGAGACGCAGCACATCGGTGTATGGAATGTGGAAAGAGCTTCAGCAGAAAGAGTAATCTCACATCGCATAAAAGAACACATACTGGAGAGAAACCCTATAACTGCACAGAGTGTGGGAAAAGTTTCACTTTTCGCAGTGTACTTACAGAACACCAAAAAACTCACACTGGGGAGAGGCCCTATAAATGCATAGAATGTGGGAAGAGCTTCTATAACAGTTCAGCGCTTATTGTACACCAAAGAAGCCACACGGGGGAGAAACCGTATCCATGTATGGAATGTGGAAAGAGCTTCAGTCGCAGATATGAGCTCACCTCACATGGAAGAACCCACAGTGGAGAGAAACCATATACGTGCAAGGAATGCGGACGGAGCTTCGGCAGAAGTGGCAATCGCCTTTTACATGAAAGAAGACATTTTGGAGTGAAACCATATGAATGCATGGAGTGTGGAAAGAAGTTCACTGCAAGCTGTACTCTTACAGAACACGTAAGAACCCATACAGGTGAGAAACCATATACATGCTTAGAATGTGGAAAGAGCTTCAGTCAGAGCGGCAGCCTGACTTCACATCAAACAATCCACACCAGGGAGAAACCATATAGATGCATGGAATGTGGAAAGTGCTTTAGTCAAAAAAGAAGCCTTAGTTCTCATAAAAAAATTCACACGGGGGAGAAACCGTATACATGCTTAGAATGTGGAAAGAACTTCAGTCAGAGCAGTGCCCTTAGTTTACATCAAAGAACCCATACCGGGGAGAGACCATATAAATGTGTGGAATGTGGAAAAAGCTTCAGTTGCAATGGCAGTCTTAATTCACATCAAAGAATTCACACTGGGGAGAAACCATATGAATGCATGCAATGTGGAAAGACCTTCAGTCAAAGTAGCCACCTTAGTTCTCATCAAAGAACTCATACTGGGGAGAAACCATATCAATGCATGGAATGTGGAAAGAGCTTCAGTTGCAACAGTGGGCTCCGGTCACATCAAAGAACTCACACTGGGGAAAAACCATATGCATGCTTAGAATGTGGAAAGAGCTTCAGTCAGAGCAGTGCCCGTAATTTACATCTAAGAATTCACACTGGTGAGAAACCATATAAGTGCATGAAATGTGGAAAGAGCTTCAGCCACAGCGGCAGTCTTAGTTCACATCAAAGAACTCACACTGGGGAGAAACCATATGGGTGCGTGGAATGTGGAAAGAGCTTTGGTCAAAGCAGCCATCTTCATTCACATCAGAGAACTCACACAAGGGAGAAACTATATAGGTTTGAAATGTGGACAGTGTTTCAATAGGAATTACAGGAACCCCAGTGGGGAGAAACCATGTAAATTGTGCCCCTGTGGAAAGGACTTTGGTCAGAGGACAAGTCTATATTCACATCAGATAAGTCATAGAACGGAGAAATGATTTAAATGCACAAGGTATGGAAAATGCTTCACCAGTAGCAGGACTTTGCTTAAATATCAAACATGTGACAGCCACCTAGAGTGGTCAAAATGACTAGATAGGCGGGGTATAAATAAAATAAATAAAAAGAAATAAATAAATTTATGAAATTATTCTAAGCATTTGACTATAAAGCTCTGTCTACCTCTCTGTCAGCTGCCTTTCCATATCTGTCAGAACTCAGGAAAAATGATATTGCAGTATACATAATGTCCGTAGATAAGTGGTGTGTAGAGGCAGAATGCATGCCCACCAGTTACAGTATTACCTCGACTTGCGAACGTCTCCACGTACAAACATTTTGAGTTATGAACGGCTTCATTCGCAAAACGTTGCTTCGACTTGCGAATGGAGCCTCGACAGCTTCACTCGCAAAACGTTGCTTCGACTTACAAACTGAAAAACACACACCCTTTCCTGATCTTTTTTTTAACCCAAATTCATCTTAGGTCAAAAGAAGAAGAAAATAAAAAAAACTCCCCCCCTACAGATTAACTGGTTTTGCATTAGTTCCCATGGGAACTAATGCCTCTACTTACAAACAGTGCCTCGACATAAGAACAAAAAACAATACATTACTATGGAAAACTTTGCCTCGACTTAACACACACCCTTTCCTGATCTTTTTTTTAACCCAAATTCATCTTAGGTCAAAAGAAGAAGAAAATAAAAAAAACTCCCCCCCTACAGATTAACTGGTTTTGCATTAGTTCCCATGGGAACTAATGCCTCTACTTACAAACAGTGCCTCGACATAAGAACAAAAAACAATACATTACTATGGAAAACTTTGCCTCGACTTACAAACTTTTGGAAAACAATGCATTACTATGGAAAACTTTGCCTCGACTTACAAACTTTTCAATGTACAAATACCATTCCAATATGGATTAAGTTCGTAAGTCGAGGTACCACTGTATTCAGAAGATGGGCACCTAATTTGTTAATTTCTGGCCAGTCCCTGAAAACATTGACGTTTTCTCTGTAAATCTGTATATTATCATTTAAAATAGGAAATGGACACCTTGGGAGTGCAATCCAGTGGTGTTAAAGATCTGGTGGCTATCTTTGTCTTAAAAGAAAAGTCAACGTGGAGCACTCTGCCCAACCATGCAGAAAATCTCCAGGTTGAGCAAAGGTGGAAACTTCAGCAATTGAATGGCATTTGGAGGAAGGACAACTTAACCCCCAAAGCATCATCAAGATCTACAAAAAGTATGGATTGCAAGGCTTAACCCTTGGGAAACCTCAGGAGAGACGTTAACTGTGAAATCAATAGGCCTGCGGACAGGAAGCGAAGCTCTGGAGCTTTCTGGTCAATGATGAGCAAAGACTGTCTTTAGTTGGACCATTTGGAAAATAAACAGCATGGTTGGGACCCTCTTGGAAAACCCATGAAATACACAAAATCAGAGGGGGAAAGGAAGAAACTTCACAGCTTCTCCAGTAGCCTGTTTTTCAGAATTTCTTCCAGGACAATGTAGTATTTTGTAGTTTGTTTTATTTGTATATCTGAATGTTCGTCTTTGACCGTATTAAAGGTGAATACAAATCTCCCGTGTCTGAGTATTCCAGCTTCTGATTTTGAACATGATTTACTTCATTTGCACTGAAGAAGGGATTTTTGTTCCTCCGCTGATGAGATGTTGAGGAAGGCAGCCATTAAACATGTAAGTGGGGTTTTTGATAATGGCAAGCTGCTTCGAAGCTCCATGCATGTAGAAGAGAAACACCTTAACTGTTCTACTCCACGTTTAATTATTAAGAAATATATGTCAGCTGTAAGGGATCCCCAGAGGCTCAAACTACCAAGGATTGGTGTAAATCTTATAAGTCCTCTGAGGACATTGCTTGAGGGTCATACTTTGACCATGAATCCCTGCCAGGGCAAGTTGCCTGTACTTCCATAGCTACCAACCCACACTTCTTGGAATAAACTGTTTTCTTAAAATGGGTCGATGCTATGTAATTTCTGCTCTAGATACTGTATACCAGATTTTCTATTTGGCTTAGCCCGGCTGGTTAAGTTCAGAATCTAGTTGTCTCAGAATCATAGCCAAATACTAAGTGAGCCTATTTTGTCGGAGAAAGTTTACGACACCATCACAAATTTTAAAACTGCTGTGCAGGGCTTCCCATGTAAATGCTTTAGAGACTTCTCTTGTGGCAAAATACACAGTACGACGTAAGAAAAACAGCTTCCCCAATTTTTCTTTTTTCTGTCAGCAATAGTTAAAGACTCGTCTTTTTAAAAGAAGACCTAATAACTTCATTGGGCAAGAATGAGTTTCTTGTGAGTGATGTACATACCCTTAAGTTTTTAAAAAGCTTTTGCATGTTTTTAACTATTTTTTAGCTGAGCCCAGTAATAAGTTGTAACTAGATTAAACCCGTCATACAAATGCAGATTTGCTTGATTCATTGGGCTGCTTCTAGTTGCAACCTACTGCTGGATTTCAACCAATGTGTTTTTGTCCAACTTTTTAAATCACTTGTGAACCCCTTTGGGGCTCTTCATCGTGAGAAAAGTGCTATGCAAGTAAAACAAATAAGCAAATAAACATCACGATACGCCGCTTAAGTGGTGCTTGTACCAAAACCCAGCCGGGATGTGGAACGTGCAAAATTGCTAATTGCTATATTGGCTGCTCAGCTGAAAGAATATATTGTAAACTCGCAGACCTTTGGTCTAGATGGGCGGGGTAGAAATCTAATAAAGCTTTGCCCAAAGGGGAGGGTTTTGAAGTTGGGGGGTTTCTTAGGACTCCTCTAGACTTCAGCTGGAGAAGGGGGGAAATGGTAGTGAGGTGAGTCAAGGTACATGTTCTTTTTTTTACACCCACCATGTCTACCCCTGGTGATCCCCAAGGAGGAGACCCAGAAAAGATGGGGCCAGCCTTGCAAGGTGCTCGTATAAACACAAATCGGGAGGGGGATTTCAAATTTGGATTGCATGGAAAGACCCCTGGGGAGGGGTGGGTTAATCTTTGGAAATCTGCTGCTCCTCCCATGCACTCGTCATTGCCCACCTTCTTCTAGGTCCTGATGCAGGGAAACACAAGAGGAAGCCATTATGCAAGCACATCCAGCAACAGAAAAAGCCCTGTCCTTTTCTCAGTTGTAGACCCTTGGATTCCTTCCTTCCTGTCTTTCCTTTTTTTTTTTTTTGTTCCCTCCATCAGGTAAGAAACAGGAATCAGAATTTTGCAGATCCACTTCTTCCATCACTCAAAAGAACCACATGCAAAGCAGGAGAAAGGAAGAAGGGAAGCCAGCCAAAAGAGAAGAGAAAATACATCTGCAGCTTAACATGTGTTTTTGAACTTGGACTGTTAAAAAAAAGACCAAAAAAAGGAAGGTGAACAACTCCCACCAGTAGACATATGTAACTCTGATTTGAACAAAAATTAGCAGAGCCTACTCACAGATAAAACTTATTCAATGCATGGAAGATGCAAAGAGCGTAGCTATGAATATTAATTTTGTTTTATGTGGAAAACCTCTTAGAGGGGAGAACATTTTTAAAAGCCTGCAGTGTGGAGAGAAATTCAGTTAAAACAATGTTCCCTCTGATTTTCAGCCAGACTGGGCAGGAATCTACCCCTTGTACACACAACTACAATCCTCCCTGGTGTGCACAATTGCACCTCCATGTGTGGGGTTCCGTCACAACCAGAACAAAAAGGGGCTGGAAATGATTGCTGTAGATGCACAGCGGAGGCAGAACACTGTGGAGGGGGGCTCCGGAGTCTTGCGTGCACTTCGAGGGAACTTTGAGCCCAAGCTATTGTGTGAAAGAACTCACATGGAGAAAAATTATATAAATGCAGAGAATGTGGACAGAGCATTAGCCTAACTAATACCCTTAATATTGGTTATCAAATAACTCGCATAGGATGAAATCATATAAACAGATTGTAGAAAATGCCTCAGTCACAGCAGTCAGCTTAGTTCATATAAAACAAATCACACAGGGGAGAGCCCACATAAAGACATGGAATGTGGGAAAAGCTTCAGTCACATCTGTAACTTTCATTCACATCAAAGAAATCACACTGGGGAGAAACTTTCATTCACATCAAAGAAATCCCACTGGGGAGAAACCGTAGGAGTGCACGGAATATGGAAAGAGCTTCAGCAGAATTAGTCACCTTAGATGACATCAAAGAGCTCACACTGAGGAGAAGCTTCTTGAATGCAAAGAAGATGGACAGAGCTTCTGTCAAAGCAGTGACCTAAGTAGACATAGAGGAACTCACACGGGAAAAACCACATCAATTCATGGAATGTAGAAACAGCTTCAGTAACAGCTGCCAAATTCACATCTTTTAAAAAATCACACTGGTTTCCACAATACTAGTGGAAACCTAGTGGAAAGGAAGTGGATAATTCTAATATATAGAAAGTGCTCATGTTTAAGTACCCTGTTTCCTTGAAAATAAACCCTAGTGTGATATTTCAGGGTGCTTGTAATATAAACCTTACCCGCAAATAAGCCCTAGTTACATGATTGTACATGAAAAAAATAAAGCATCCCCTGAAAATAAGCCCTAATGCGTTTTCGGAGCAAAAATTAATATAAGACCCTGTCTTATTTTGGGGGAAACGGGGTATGTGGATTGTGGGAAGGCATTCAGTTAACGAGAAAACATATATGACATATAAGGAATTAGAGATAATCTGAGTAGATGTCTGAGCTTTAGGTAGACATTTGCCTGTAGAAGAATGGTGTCGTCTTTCCTTTTGAAGCCAAATGGTGAATCTGAGTGGTCAAAATGAGATCTTTCATTGGAGAGCTGCCCTTTTTTGTTGCAGGGTTTTGAAAATGATGTCCAGTAGGCAAAAGGTGTAACCAGTGACAATCCAAGGCTATCATCAAGTGCAATCTGAAGATTTATTTGAATCACAACAGATAAGCAGCACACAAGATCCACAAAAACAAGACAATGTAAAAGAAATCAAAGGAAAGTCAATGAATTTCTGACACAGTGCAAACCAACGGTAAAGTGCAATGTAGAATCACCGACATTAAGGTATCTGAAATTAGAGATATGCAAAATCAGCCACAGTAAGTTATGTTTGATCCTATTCTTCCACCAGTTCTCTAGTTGAAGCTCACTACATTTCAGCTGTTAGTTGAAAGGTTGAAAAAGAAAGACATTGCTACATATTGTAAGGAACAGGTTCCTGAAGATTATGTAAAATAGTGGGAATTGAGAGAGAGGGAGAGAGAGAGAATGAATAGTAAAGGAGTTGTAGAATTTCCCAAAATGAGTATTTCACCCATTCTCAAAATATTAAATTCTCAAAATCGAAGCAAAAGAACACCC